ATCCCAAGGAAATTTACAAACACACATCTGGAAAAGAAAATTGGGTGATGCAAGAGGCACACTTCCTGCTAAAAAACCAAGGACCGTGCAGCCAAACACTGCCTTGGCTAAGGAAGCATGCCTGCTTCCAACCAGGAGGGAGGAAGGAAGTCAATGCCAGACACAAAGCCTCTCCCTTCAGAGCACATCCAGACCCCGGTCTCGAAGCCATGCGTAGAATAGGTTAACTGATCATCAAGGGGAAGAAAATGAGATGCATCTTCCAATTTAGGGGATCCAACAAAAAAGACTAAAGGCAGGGCTGCATCCAGGGAAGAGTGCCGCTTCTGGGCCACTCCAGTCCTGGGAAGAGAACAGGAAGAACCAAGGAGAGCAGGAAAGGGACGGAACAGAGAGCCACCGCTGGTGAGGGAGCCAACATGCAACGACAGAAGGAGGAGGAGGAGGAGGAGGAGGAGGAGGAGGAGGAGGAGAATGATGAAGAGGAGAAGAAAAGAAGGAGGAGGAGGAGGAGGAGAATGATGAAGAGGAGAAGAAGAAAAGAAGGAGGAGGAGGAAGAGGAGGAGGAGAATGATGAAGAGGAGAAGAAGAAAAGAAGGAGGAGGAAGAGAATGATGAAGAGGAGAAGAAAAGAAGGAGGAGGAGGAGGAGGAGAAGAGGAAGAAGAAAAAGAGGAGAAAGACGGAGGAAGAAGAAAAGGAAGAAGAAGAGGAAGGAGAGGGAGAAAAAGGAGGAGGAGAAGGACGAGGAGACAGAAGAAAAGGTCAAAGGTGTGGCATAAACAGGCAAAAAACCCAAGGAGAAATTTGCAGAAAGAACAAGTGGGCTCCATCTGCTGGGGAAGGGCTGAAAAAACCTGTGGTCTTTGAATGTGATGGAGGGTGATGGTGTAAGAAGAAACGACAAATATGAAGGATTCAGAGAGACGCGGGGAACTTTGGAAGAACCGATATTAAGCAAAAGGAGCAGCATCCAGGGAATGATGTGTGGCGAGCAAAAAGATAAAAGGCAACTCAAAGATCCTGAAAGAGAGTGGACCATCAATAAGCCATAACTCCTGGCTCTCTACTATTACTAACAAAGCCCAGCAGCAAGAGATAGGAAGAGGAATTCCATTTAAAATAACTGTAGACAATATAAAATACTTGGGAAACTACTGCCAAAATAAACCCAGGACATATATGGACACAATTATAAAACACTTTTCAGACAAATCAAGTCAGATCTAAATAACTGGAAAAATATCAATTGTTCATGGGTAGGCCGAGCTAATACAATAAAAATGACAATTCTACCTAAATTAATTTACTTGTTCAGTGGCATATCAGTCAAAGTACCAAAAATTATTTTATAGATCTAGAAAAAATAATAACAAAATTCATCTGGAAGAACAATAGGTCAAGAATATCAAGGGAATTAATGGAAAAAAATGCAAAGGAAAGTGGCCTGGCTGCACTAGAGCTTAAATAGTATTATAAAGCAGTAATCACCAAAACTACTCGGTATGGGCTAAGAAATAGAGTGGAATAGGTTAGATACACAAGACACAGTAGTCAATGACTATAGTAATCTACTGTTTGATAAACCCAGGCTCTGATTTCTGGGAAAAGAACTCGCTATCTGACAAAAACTGCTGGGAAAACTGGAAAACAGTAGGGCAGAAACCAGGCATAGATCAATATCTTACACTGTATAACAAGATAAGGTCAAAATGGGTACATGATTCAGGTGTGAGGAGCCTGCGGCCTCCAGGCCACTTGAGGCCTTCTAGGTCCTTGGGTGTGGCAAGTCCAAGTTTTACAGAACAAATCCTTTTATTAAGGGAATTTGTTCTGTTAAGTTTAGATTCAGTCAAAGGGCTGCACTTGAGGACCGAGAGGGCTGCACGGGGCCTCAAGGCCGCAGGTTCTCCACCCCTGGTGTAGACATAAAAGGTGATACCATAAGCAAATTAGGAGAGCAAGGAATAGTTTACCTATCAGATGCATGCAGAAGGGAAGAATTTATGAGAGAGAGAGAACATTATGAAACACAAATTGGATAATTTTGATTACATTAAATTAAAAAGGGTTTGCACAAAGCCAACGCAACCTAGATTAGAAGGGAAGCAGAAAGCTGGGAAACAATTTTTACTGCCAGTGTTTCTGATAAAGGCTTATTTCTAAAATATATAGAGAACTGAGTCAAATTTATAAAAATACAAGCCAATACCTAATTGATAAATGGTCAAAGGATATGAACAGGCAGTTTTTAGATAAAGAAATTAATGCTATCTATAGTCATATGAAAAATAATGCTCTAAATCCCTATTGATTAGAGAAATGCAAATTAAAACAACTCTGAGATACCACCTCACATCTATCAGATTGGCTAATATGACAGAAAAGGAAAATGATAAATGTTGGAGAAGGTATGGGAAAATTGGAACACTAGTGCATTGCTAGTAGAGTTGTGAACTGATCCAACCACTCTGGGGAGCAAATGAAACTATGCCCAAAGGGCTACAAAACTGTGCATACCCTTTGATCCAGCAATACTACTACTAGGTCTGTATCCCAAAGAGATAACAACAATGGGAAAAGGACCCACATGTATAAAAATATTTATAGCAGCTCTTTTTGTGGTGGCAAAGAATTGGAAATTGAGGGGATGCCCATCAGTTGGGGAATGGCTGAACAAGCTGTGGTATATAAATGTAATGGAAAACTACTGTGCTATAAGATATGAGCAGGCAGACTTCAGAAAAACCTGGAAAGACTTATTTGAACTGATGCAGGGTAAAACGAGCAGGACTGGAACATTGCACACAGTAACAGCCACACTGTGCGATGATCAACTATGAATGACTTAACTGTTCTCAGCAAGGCAATGATCTTAACCAGGTGTAGGGAACCTGCAGCCTGGGAGGCCACGTGTGCCTTAAGTCCTCAAGTGTGGCTCTTTGAATGAATCCAAACTTCACAGAACAAATCCTCTTAATAAAAGGACAATTAGACAATTCCAAATGACTCATGATGGAAAATGCTATCCATATCCAGAGAAAGAACTATGGAGTCTGAATGCAGGTAGAAGCATTCTATTTTCTCTTTTTTTGTTGCTTTTTCTTTCTCTTTTTTTCCCTTTTGTTCTGATTCTTCTTTCACACATGACTAATGTGGAAATATGTTTAATACGATTGTACATGTATAACCTATATCACATTGCATGCCACCTTGGGGAGGGGAGGGAGGAAGAAAAAATGTGGAACTCAAAATCTTATAAAAGTGAATGTCGAAAACTATCTTTACATGTAATTGGAAAATATAAAATACTATTAAGTAGGAGGAAAATTAACTCATAGGAACTGGCCATGGTGATCACCAAACAACACAAAGAATAACACTGACTTAAAAGACACGAAAAGACTTATTGCTACAGGAGTTAGCCCTGAGTCAGATGTCTGTGCAAAATCAGATCATCAATTTGTCAGAGCTAAGGTCAAAATTTATAATAAACAAAAAGAAAGCATAGTAATGAGAAACAGATATGGTATTCAAGAAAGGAAATGTAACTTTGAATTATTTAAATAAACTACTGGAAATCAAAAATGGGAAATGGATGGCAGAAATGACTGACCATAATAATTTTATCCAGAATCTAAACCAATACAAATTAATTACTGAGGCAATTAGGTGGCACAATAGATAGAGAGCCAGGCCTAAAGTCAGGAAGACTCCATTTCCCAAGTTCAAATCCAGCCTTAGACACATACTAACTGTGAGACCTTGGGTCAGTCACTTCACTCTGTTTGCCTCAGTTTCCTCATCTGTAAAATGAGCTGGAGAAGGAAATGGCCGACCACTCTGCCAAGAAAACCCCAAAAGGGGTCACAAAGAGTCAGATACAACTGAAAAATGACTAAACAACAAAAAATTAATTGCTACAACCAAGATAACAAAAGTCCAGAAAGGATCTTAGTCAGCAAACATTAGGCTTTCTTGCTCAATGGAGACAGAGTGCTGCCAAAGGCACCACCAGGTTACAACGCAGACTCATTTATAAAATCTTGGGAAGGCGGATGATGGATGATTGTGAGTAACATCGTCTCATACAGCACAAAGCAGCAATGGAGGATAAAACCAGACTGAAGAGAGCTTGGCAAGCTGTCCCGTTAAACAAAGTCACCCCAGGAGCACTCAAGGGCGAGAACAGAAAGAAGACGACAAACCGAAGGAAAATGGCAGGGATGGGGGGACGGGTAATGGTCAAAATTACGCCACTGTTTCCTCTTTCAAGGATAGTGGAACCACCACACTCGGACCCCAGCATCCTAGTACACGTGTATAGAGACATACATGTATATCTATATATAGGCACACAGTACATGAACTGCTTACAGAAGATGGAGAAACAGCACTGAAGAGAGTAAAAAAGAGAGAAAGCAGTCAGACTGGATCAGGTATACATAGAAATCCATTCATAAGGCATTCTACTTGTAAGAGCATTGGAGAGACTGGTTTACAAGGTCGAAAGGAGGCATGGAAAGAAATCTCAGACCTTACTGACTCCCCCCAAAAAAGTGGCCAAGAAAACATGAACAACTCCTAAACTTTGTGCCTACTCCCCCATCTATACAAAGTCTACATCTGTGCATAAACATGACAGTATTAATAGGCAACAAATGAGCTTTTTCTAATGACGTTCACCAAGGGACCACATCTTTACCGTCTCACAACTGACTTAAAAACAAAGAACACACAAAGTCTCACTATGACCGTTGCTGGTTAATTATAAACTTGTCTCATAATTATAATTTTTATAAATTATAAATTATATATAATTTAATAATAAAATATACAAATTACAAATTTGCCTCAGCAAAACAAAACACTTCCTTATGGGTTCCTTTACAACAAGGGGTCTCCCAGCCATATATCAATAGCATTCAAGATTCCTTAGAGGAAATCCCAGTAGAAATGACCCTGCCCAGTGACCCTCTGCTGGCAAACATCAGGCAGGACACGAAAGGAGAGGGATGCTCACCCAAAACAGTCGCCGCTGTGACGGAGGAGTTCCTTGTGAATGATGAGTCCCACATGACAGGGTGGTGGTTGCGTTGGGCCCAAGACACTGCCCAGAAGAGATCTGTAATCACACAAAGGAGTTTGGCCTGACCAGCTATACTGAAAAAGATCAAGTAGATCACGTCCAGATTTCAACACACATATGAATAATACAAGCCTCTAGAGCCTACCCAAAAGTATGTCTATCCTGGGCAGATCATGCAAATGAATAATGAGCTAGGCCTGGCTGAAAAGGAGAGTGCTTTCAGCAATTTTCAGGAGTGCTTTTCAGGAGAGTTGCTTTCAGGCAATCGCAAACCCCAAGCTTCCGTGACAGTAAAGTCCCATCTTTTCAATACTAATATCTCACCACCATTGCTTTATGGAACTAAGACCTGGAACACCACTGTCTCTGAAGAACCAAAGATGACCACCACAGAGAGGCAACGGAAGGGTACATGGTGGGTGGGGCATACAACCAACAAGGAACTCCGAAAGATGGGAGTGATGGATGTCATCATAAAACTCAAATAAAGTATTTGAAAAGCACTTAGCACAATGCCTGGCACACAGTAGGCACTACATAAATGCTAGCTGTTACTGGTATTATTAACTGTAAGACAGAAAGAGAAGATGAGGAGAGGGAGGACTGATGGGTGGCTGCCCTCTGTGTTCCACTGGTACCCTTGGAACATCAGAAGGAAGCGAGGGAAGTCTTCAGCCCATTGGAGAACTTCGGAGGGGCCATAGATAGGAGTCACATGGGACAGACAGACATGGACAAGTTGTGATCTGCCCTAAACATGGTTTGGGGGGAAGGAGGGAAGGTAGACTGAGCAGAAACTAGAGAAGGGAAAGAACAAGAGATGACAGATTACAGCCTCAGCCACACAATATTAAAACACCTAGAGAACAGCCCCATTGTGTTGGGTAGATACTCTAAGGGGCATTCCTGGAAGAACACGAACTAGTACTGGAAGGAGAAAGGACATATGGGACACACTCTACACCAGACACGAAGCGTCCACGTGGCACTGACTGGTCCCCGGGCCAGCAATGCTCTTCTTCCTCACCTCTGCTTCTCAGAATCCAGAGTTTCCTTCACAGAATCAGAGAATCAGCAAATCTCAGACCTGAAAGGATCTTCAGGAGTCGATTAACAAATACAAAAGGACTTCCAGGAGCCAAGATGGCAAAGTAAAAAGGTAGTTGCTCTCACCCTCCACTATCAACCTTTGAAAACCCAGAAAATATCACCTCAGAGGAAAAAAAAAAAACCCAGAACACATGAACTAGAAGAAAGACAGGGAACAGCAGTACAGCAGCTCAGCAAACAGGTCTCCCAGGCAAAGCAGCACTACAATGGGCCCCAGGCGGATAAGCACCCTGCAGCATTCATCTGAAAGGAGCTGAAGAAAGCAACCTAAAGTCTTCCTAAAGTCCAAGCCTTGCTGATTCCAACCCAATACCAGGTAAGCTGTCAGAACCTCCAACTGTCAACCAGGAAGAGATCCTGAAGCCCAGGCGATAGAGCAGGCAAACACCAACACCCAGACCACAGAATGACTCAGTGAGGGTGGGGGGAACTGGTGGAAACCAGCTCAGAAAACCACCAGGTACCCCGGCACTCTACTGCAAAGGAATCTCCCAGTGCATTGGCAGAAACGAGGGAAGCAGCATTGCAAGGGGCCCCAGGCAGATAAACACCCTGTAGCACCCATCTAAAAGGAGCTGAAGAAAGCTAAAGGAAAGGAAAAGCAGGCAACCTAGAATTGCCTGAAAGTTCCAGCCTTGCTGATTCCAGCCCAACACAAGGTCAGATGCCAGAAACCTACAGCCTCCAATCACCAACATAAGAGGCCCCAACACACAAAGCCAGTGACCAAGACCTAGGCTCCCAACACAAGAAGCTTGGGTCAGTGCCCTCTGTTCCCCAGCAGGAGAGCTCAATCTCTTTAAAGGCCAGGGAATAAAGAAACACCATGAGTAAAAAGAAATGTACCATAGATTCATATTATGAGAAGAGAGAAGATCAAGACAGAAATTCTGAAGAGGACAACATTGTCAACAAACCCACATCTGCAACATCAAAAGGGAATATGAACTGGTCTGAAGCCCAAAAAGCCTTCTTAGAAGAGCTCAAGAAGGATTTTAAAAGTCTAATGAGAGAGGTAGAAGAGTCCTTAAAAAATACAATTGGCCAATTGGAAAAAAAGTACACTGAAGAAAACAAATCCCTTAAAAAATACAATTGGCCGAAGAAGGAAGTACAAAAACTAACAGAAAAAACAATCTGTTAAAAACTAGAATTGGACAAATGGAAACTAATGACTCTATCTATGAGAGAGCAAGAATCAGTCAAACAGAAACAAAAAAATGAAAAAATAGATGAAAATGTAAAATACCTCATCAGTAAAACAACTGACCTGGAAAATCGATCCAGGAGAGACAATTTAAAAATCATTGGACTACCTGAAAATCATGATGAAAAAAAGAGCCTGGACAGTATCTTTCAGGAAATCATAAAGGAAAACTGCCCTGAAGTCCTAGAACCAGAAGGTAAAATAACCATAGAAAGAATACACCAGTCACCACCTGAAAGAGATCTCAAATTGACAACGCCAAGGAATATAATAGCAAAATTCCAAAATTACCAGATGAAAGAGAAGGTGCTGCAAGCAGCCAGAAAGAAACAATTTAAATATCATGGAACCACAGTCAGGATTACACAGGACCTTGCAGCTTCTACATTAAAAGACCGCAGGGCATGGAACATGATATTCCATAAGGCAAAGGAGCTTGGATTGCAGCCAAGGATCAACTACCCTGCAAAAATGAGCATGATTGTTCAAGGGAGGAAATGGATATTCAATGAAATAGGAGACTTCCAAGCCTTCCTGATAAAAAGACCAGAGGTCAACAAAAAATTTGATCTTCAAGTACAAGATTCAAGAAAGACATGAAAAGGTAATTGGGACAGAAAGATGCAAAATGTTGTTAATAAAGGCTGACTGTTTACATCCCTACAAGGGAATATGACACTTGCATCTCTTCAGAACTGTATTGTTACTACACCATATTAAAGGAGTATACACAAAGGGGGTGGATATTAGTTGACTTTGATGTAATGATAAAAAAAAATCTAATCAAGTGGGTTAAATGGATCCAAGTAAGTGGATTAGTCTGATCTTAGAAAATGTACTGAGAAGGGAGGAGACAGACAAGAATAAATTACGTTACAGGAAAAGACAGAAAATCCTATTACAGCACAGGGAAAGAAGGGAGGGGGGTGAGCATTGTTTGAATCTTACTCTCATAAGATTTGGCTCAAGAAGGGAATAACAATCAGGTATAGAAATCTAACTTTCCCTATAGGCAGTAGGAGGGAAAAGGGAAAAGAAAAGGGAGGGGGGGAATAGAAGGGAGGGAAGAAGCAGTAAGGCTAAAGGGGAAGAAAAGGGAAAGGGAGGGAGGGACTGAGGGAGGCGGTGGTCAAAAGCAAAACACTAGTGAGAATTTGTACTTACAACTTCACTAATGTGAAAATACGTTTAATAGGAATGTAAATGTATAGCCTATATCAGATTGTGTGCCGTCTTGGGGAGGATGGTGGGGAGGAAGAGGGAGAAAAATTTTAAACTCAAAAGCATATGGAAGTGATTATTGATAAATCAAAATAAATTAATAAAATAAATTCAAAGTAAAAATAAAATAAAATAATAAAATAAAAATGAAAGCTAGGAAGAACTGCAGGAGCATGAGAAGACTTGGAATGACAGAATGAAGTAAGCAGAACCTTGTCTCCCACAAGGGGAATGAATGTGAGAGCCTTGGGATGCACCTGGGAGAAGAGTGAGAAAATGTGCCATGTGCTTTTCACAACCAGGGACTCTTTTGGTCTCTGATCTTTCTAAGAAGCAGTGGTGTGCTGGGCAGGTACACATCCCTAGAAACCACTTCTGTGGTTTCTGCTGTCTCCGTTGTTTCCCTCTCATCCCCCGTGCCTGCCACTGCAGAGCCCGCTTGTAGCCAGACAGAGACCCCCAGTGTATGCCTCACGCCACACCCACAGCCCCAACTGTCTTCGAGGAGGGAGAGGAATGTCTCGCCGACTGTCCTTTGGAGCATGGACTGGTGTCTGCTTTGGTCTTTTTTCAGATCATTTTCACATTGTTTTCTTTTTGTTTACTCTTCTCTTGGTTCTGCTTTCTAGTAGTCTAGTAGATTTGTACATTACAGCTTGTTCAGCCTTTCCCCAACCAATGGGCATTCCTTTGGGTTCCACTTTTTTTTTCTTTACCAGAAAAGTAATGCTGTCTATTAGAATTAAAATTCTTTACTTTGTCTTTGGGGGAAAAAAAAACCAAATACAAAAGGAATCTTCAATCTAACATATCTGACAGTTCTCGCCCAGCCTCTGCTTGATGACCCCCAAGGAGGAGGACCCCAGCCCCTCCAGGGGCATCCCATTCCCCATCAAGTCAACACTGGTCTCTTTGTAATTTCCTCCTGTTGCTCAAATGCTACTTCCTGTGGTAGCACACGGGCCTGTGGTCCCGCTACTGGGAACACTGAAGCTGACAGATCACTTAATTAGGGGAATTCTGAGCTAAAGTGAGGTTAAAGTTAATCAAGCATCTGCAGTGTCTGGAACCAACATGACGACCCCTGGGAGAAGGAGGCCACAGCCTGAGAAACCCGGCGAAGGTCAGAAATGGAGAAAGTCAAAGCTTCCAAGGATTTGGAACAGTGGGGTGAGGCTGTGAGAAGCAACTTCCAGCCTGGGAGAGACAAGGAAACCTGGCAAGAAGGAGGAGGAGGAGGAAGGAGGGAATGAGGAAAGAGGGAGGGGGAGGAAATGGACAAGGTGTTTCATGTGTCAGTCAAGAAACATTTAGTAAGTGCCTACCACATGCCAGGCACCATACCAAGTGGTGGAGATACAAAGACAGGGGAAAGTCAGCAGTGAGTGCCCTAAAGACCCGAGTCTAATGGGCAGACGACGTACAAGCTACGATGTGCTAACAAGCTCGTGCCCATCACCAATATTTGTACGCAGCTTTGAGGCTGGCAAAGGGCTTTGGATCTAGTATCTCATTTCATCCTCGTACCAAGGCCGGGAGGCAGATTGTATTAGAATCCCAATTTTACAGATAAGGAAACAGCATTGGAGGAAGGTCAAGGTCAGTGCTCCCAGGGTCACCCAGTTAGTGAGCATCCAAGGTTAGATCTGAACCGAGGTGGGACAGCAAGCTAACCTTCCCAAGAAGTGACCTTAGAGCTTGTGTGTGGACTAGGGACTAATGAACATGGGGAGACTTTCCTGGAGGGGAGATGCCCTTCCAGGACTGCTTAGTCTAAGAGAGGGAGGGAAGGGAGGACAGAGGAAGTCACTGTGGGGGGGAACAGGACTAGTTCTTGTTTTACAGCCAGCTCATAAAGTCCTTGTGGAAAAGCGTCCTGTCATCACGGCCTCAGTGTTAGCTCGTCAGGAGTCAGGAGAAGATAAAGCAAGATAAAACCAGAACTATCTCTCAGGGGGTATCTGCCATATGTCACCCTTGGAGGTGGGGGGATGAATTCATCTGACACCAGAGGCCATTGGACTAATTTAGTGCATCTGAACTTGTGCCAACAGCCGCCTCAGCCTGGGGCTGGGGCTGGGGCTGTCAATGGCATTCCCTGCTTTTGACTGCTTCAGAAGAGGCAGAGGTCAGGGTGGGGTATAGTGGTGAGAAAATAAGGCAAAGAACAGAGATGCCTCAGTCCTCATGGGCTGCCACGCCACGCAGCTGGAAAACCTACAGAACACATCCATCAGCCTAGATGTCTTGGTAAGGCCTTGCAAATGGACAATGGGTTGGGTCCAGAATTGAAGAGAAGGAAGAGATGCAGATAAATGGCCTCTGGGAAATTGTACAGCACTTTTAAGGATTCCAAGTTTCTCTTTGAAACACAGGCCCATCTGCCAGAGATGCTTTGAGGCTGCAAGTCACAGAATATGATGGTCTCCAAAGAAATGGAGCGGGGCATAATCCAGAGAACAACTGCGAACATAAACAAACTGTACCACGTTGCAAATAAGGAATCACACAGGAGAAATATTGGAGAAATCGGTGCCTGGGGGAAAACGTGGGCAGGCCACATCTCAAGAAAAGGGGAGAACTGATGAGCAGACTGTGCATTGCGCTGGAATCCATGCGAGTCAAGTCAACGAGACAAGAAGCATTTCTTAAACACTTACTATGTGCCAGGCATTCCACTAAGTACTGAGAATACAAAGAAAGGCGAAAACAGTGTCTGCCATCAAGGAGCTCACATTTTAGCAGAGGAGACAACACATGCACCATTATGTATACAACATCTAGAAAATACAAGGAAGGCCTCCGACATGACGGATGGACTCCTTGTGGAGAATTTATGGGAGGACTCGGCCAAGAGCTGCTCAGCACGGACAGGACTGCGATCTCCATGTTTGTAGGGAATGCCACCATCAATCACGTATCTCAGATCTACTGGCAGACACACCATAAGAGAACAGTCATGGTAACTGATCGCGTACTTAGAGGAACGGTAACCAGAGGACCAGTTGGACCTCTGCCACTAACTCACGTGGCCTGGGCCTAATCAAAGATTCTCTGAATCTCAGAGTAGGAAGAGACCTCCAAGGTCACCTAGCCCAACTCATACCTGAACAAGCATTCCCCCTCGTAACTTTCCCAAAAACAGTCATCCAGCCTTGGCTGGAAGATCTCCAGGGAGCAGGAACCCACTATGACCTGAGGCATCCTCTTCCACTTTTGGGCAGCTCCAAGGGATAGAAAGTCTCAGCCTAAATTTGTCTCTTCATCTTCCAGCCATTGTTCCTATTTCCACCCTTGGCAGCCACACCAAGCTACACATCCTCATTTCCTCCACCCAGTCCTCATATGGGATGATCTCAAGACACTTCACCATCATGGTGACCTTCTTACAGATACTCTTCAATTTATCAAGGTGCCCAGAAATATCATCTTAAATTATATTAACAGGAATATAATGCCTACAGTAAGGAAGGTAATAATCTCACTGACCCTCTCCTGGTCAGACCACAGCTAGAATAAGATGTCCAGCTCTGGGCAGCCCATTTTAGGAAGGGACACTGGCGCACTGGGGTGCATTCTGAGAAGGACTCCCAGGATATCAAGGATTGGCCTAGGGAAATGTGGATTATGTAGCATGGCAAAGAGAAGTGTGGCCATGAAGGAGGATGGGGAGGCCAAGATAGCTATCTTCAAGACTCCAAACAGACATACTTCAATCCCTTCATTTTACAGATGAAGAAATTGAGGCTGAGAGGTTAAGTAACTTCCCCAGGGTCACACAGCTTAGTAAGTGTCTAAAATAGGATTTGAATTCAGGTCTCCCTGACTGTATTCACTAGTGAATGGTTTCTCTTTCACCTTAACAAATATCAGAAGACACTGACTTGAATTTTCCAATTAGGGACATGAGTTAACACTAGCCAGTCTTTCATCACAACATATTTATAAATAGTGAATATATCACCAAGAACACAGTCACATTCCTCGAACATTGAACTCTCCCGTTTGAGGTCCCCAGACAGTCTCTAGCTGTGCACCATATCTTTCTCCTCCCTCTCCAAGGTACCTGACTCTACAAGCAGCATAATCTGTCCCCTGGCTAGACAGTGGTGCACGAGTCCCTCAGAAAGCTCCCCTTTTAGACGGGCTGCTTTTAAATAAGAGCTGACAAGAGGGAAACATTTCGGCCAAGAGGCTCCTGATTTTCCTGGTCTCGTGTCATGGCCAAAGCATGCTGGTACAACTCGGCAAGTCAAGGCAGTGCTGTTCATATCTAATCCCAGCCTCTGACAAATCGAGGTGGCCTCCCTTCCATCATCATTTCTCCATGGCTTCACCATCACTCTCAAAAGAGGCAGACACTAGATAAAAAGCTTCTCATCATTTTTCCATTGAGTTGAATTACTTCTGGACACTCCTGATTCCCCAGTCTGCTGGTGACTTCTCCCTTCCACCATGCCCCCCATTCCCACCCAGAACATCCTTGACTTGATGTACTTCTTTGTATAGATGTGTGTGTGTGTGTGTGTGTGTGTGTGTGTGTATGTATAAAACATAAGCTCCCCAAGGCAGGGCCTGTTTCTCTCTTTTTTCCTCAGTCTTTGTAAGCCCGCACCTCACAGTAATTTCACTGGCATAGAAATTCCCTGAGGAGGGAACCCCTCTGCTAAAGCTGGTTGGCACCTTCTCTGCCAGACCACTGTGGAGATAAGGAACACGCCCAGGGTCCCACAGCCAGTGTGTATCAGAAACAGGACGTGAGCCAGGGTTTTCCTGGCCCTGAGGCAGGCTCTACTCAGGAACAGGACCACAGAATCAGATACCTGATTGGTGACTGGCCTCATCTGGGGACTCGCTCTCATTTGAGGGTGCTTGGGAACCCCTTTCCCCAAGATGGCTGTGAAGTCAGCCTGGACTTCAGTCTTGCAGTGAACATATAAAAATCATCTTTTTTCATTCTTTACCCAGAGAATTTCAGAGCAGCAGTATGTTTAATTTTTTAAAAATGGAAACGTCCAGTAGTAAAAGCATGGTTAAAAAAATCTAAGTACAAACCTGATGGAATATCATAAAGACTTTAAGATGGACAAGTATGAGGAACATAAAGAAATCTGGGAAGAAATTGATTAAATGATACAAAGTTCAAACGACAAAAGCAGAATCAAATCAATCACTCAACAACTGCTTACTTATGAGGCACCAATTACATGCTAAGCCTTAAGAACACAAAGCCAAAACGGAATGCCTTCCATACTAGCTGGCATTGTCAGAGCAATTTAAGGTTTGCAAAGTTCTTTACATATGCTAACTCCTCTGATCCTCACTACAATCCTGGGACGGAGGTGCTATAAATATCCTCATTTTACAGAGGGAGAAACTGGGACTTACCAAAGGTCACACAGCTAGGTAAGCGTCCAAGGCTGGATTTGAACACTGATCTTCCTGTACCATCAGCTGCCTCAAGAAGGTTCTATTTTCCAGGGAAGGTAAGAACCAGAAGAATGGAGACAAAATCCTCCCGGCATATTTAAGCATCTAAGAAATACTTGTGGGGCTGGAGACAAGATGGCAGAGTGAAATCAGTGACTTGCTTGAGCTCTCCCCCAAACCCCGCCAAATACTAAAAAATGGCTCTATAACAAATTCTAAAGCGGCAGAACCCACAAAAAGACAGAGTGAAACAAATTTCCAGCCCAAGACAGGCTGGATGGTTGATCAGAAAGGTGTATTGCGCCGGGCAGGAAGGGGAGCGCAGTTTGGCGTGAGTGTGCTAGGCAAAACAGGCCTCTGTCGCCATGTCCCCATCTCCCTTTCCAGGTCCCCTTTATACGCTGTCTTCTCCCATCAGGATGTAGAATCTGTAAAGGCAGGGACTGTCATACTTTCTTGTAATGTATCCCCAGCACAGTGAACACAGTGCCTGGCATACAAAAGGCACTTAATAAATCCCTTCCCATTCATTCATTCAGCTCCCAATGGTACAGGGAGGGACAACACTATGTTTCAGGGATTTGGGAACTAGTTTTACTAATGCAGATATACAGCCTCTGGTTCTGAACCTCACAGTCTTAGAGAATTTACTGGTCAAGTGACTTTCCCTCAGGCAGACAGACCATAGGCTTCAGAATCAGGACTTCAAGGTTTTCTAGGCTCGGAGGCCAGCTCTCCATCCCATACGCTACACGGACTCACCTGCCACCAGACAAGAGGAGAAGAGAATGAGAATGAATGGACAAAGAATTCTGCTACCAAGTTGGAGGACGTAACTAAAAAGGATTGTAAATACTTTCATGGTAAATAAGGTAAATAAAAAGCATGTATTGAAATTAAATTATTTTTGCAGTAGAGAGTAACTGAGCAAATTCAGCTGGTTGTTTTTATGGAATCAATATTGTTTTTATTAAAATGCATTGGTTTTTTCCAAAGGAAGAAAGAGAAATCCTATCTTGTACTTGCACAGCACCTTTTCATGAAAGGGTTTCAAGCACTTAGAGTGACCTCATCGGTCTCAATCACTATTTTTCTTTTAAAAACTCTGGGACCACAGGAGCATTCCAGCAGCTATTTACAATGTCATTACAGTGTTTTGCACACTTGTTTGAAATTACAGTTTCCTATTTTGTTCCACTTTATTCATTCATCTTATTAGCCCTTGGTTGGAAGGCAAACATCCAGATCATTAAACCAATTCAGTTCAATAAACATTTATTGCCATGTGCCGAGCACTGTGCTGGCCCCTATGGGAAACAGCCTATGTAAAGGCACTGGGGGGGAAGATGGATGGGCAAAGTCAGGAACCAGCAATTAGGCTGATTTGGTATAAAATGCATCTGTTAAGACGGGCCAGAGCCAGATGGGGCAGGACTGGTAATACCAGAAGTGAGGAGCTTAACTTTTATCCTGGAGCTAACAGAGAGCCCCTGAAGACTTTTGGGCAAGGCAGCACATGGTCAGACCTGGGCCTTGAGTGAATTGCTTTGGCAGCTGTGTGGAGGATACATTGGAGGCAGAATCCACAGAAGCAGTATGCATGAACTCAACATCTCCTTCCCCCACTTCACAACCCAGGCAATCAACTAGGAGCATTTATTAAGCACCCACTCTGTGCCGGGCATTGTGCCAGGACCTTAGGATGCAAAGATAAAAATGAAACCCTTCTTGCCCTCAAGCAGCTTACAGTCTAGGGGTAATTCACACATTTCCCAGTCTTCCAATCAGACAGCAACTACTCAAAGCCAGCTCCCCCATCCCCCCTCACCCCTTTTGCCAAAGCTCATGCACACTATGTAGCTATCATCCCCACCCCACCACAAGGGTGCCTTTCTTCTATTTAGCGATCTTGACTCACCCCTGGCTTATGCACGGACTCCATCTGCATGAGACAACAGTGGATTCCAAATTCATTTGTTCAGATCTAACCTAGTGCAAAAAGAGATAGAAAGATCCCTTTAATATATATATATTTTAAAACCAGTGCTCAATTTCTAAACAGTGCTGTCAGTTGGAGCCTAGGATCCAAGATTATCTGACCCTGAGGTTCTCTGACTGGAATGGATGTTTAGTTACCAAAGGGGGTCTCCACCCAAAGGATATGATGGTTCAATGAGATTTGGGTTGAAATCCTATCTCCAAAATATTTTCCAACATCTCTTTCACTGCCCTTCTCTGTGCCCACCTATTAAATAATAAATCATTCAAGAAAGAACTAGAAAAATAACAAAATGGCTATGGGATGGAGCCAGAATGGTTCTTAGCAACAAATCTATATTGAGAAGAGATAAAAACAGAAACTAAATGAATCAGGTCTGATCTCAAACACATTAGAAGAGGAACAAAGAAATAGGTCAAATGAAAAAAGCAGATAGAAGAGGAAAAATAAGTAGAGAAGCAAATCAATTTTTAAAGTTAAATTAGCAAATAAAAACAGTTTGTTTTGCAGAGATTGAGAAAATTGGTAAAATATTAACCAATGTAATCATAAAAACAAAAGTCATGAAAATTAGAAATTTTAAAAGTGATATTATGGCAAATCAAAGCCATTATCAGGAAACATTATGTTCCACTATTATATGACGAAACAGTAATTCTCAAGGTGTGGTCTGCTGACCCCTGTCTCGGTCCCTGAGATACTTTTGTAGAGTCCATGAGGGCAAAACTATTTTCATAATAATACAAAGATTTTAATTTCTAATATGGTAAATGTCTATTGATATAACCCACACAAAGAAAAGCTCTTTGGGGGGCCCTCAATAATTTTTTTAAGAGATAGAGGGGTCCTAAAACCAAGATATTTAAGAACCAATATGCTAATGAATTTGAAAACTTAAAAAGACAGGGAGGTTTACCTGAGTAAGAGAATATGGATGGACCTTAGCCGAGGGGGTAGGAACACACACAGAAGTCAACATTTTGCCCCACCCCCTCCAAAGTCTCTTGTTTTCTGGAGGCTTATCACTTCAAGCAATCTGTGCGACTACTTGCTGGTTACCAGGGACCTTGGCCAGATCTGAAAGGGCCAATGAAAAGAAGAGGACCATAATTATCTCCCCAGCCTCGGAGAGGCATTAGGCTGACTCGTAGGGCCAAGACGAGGACATGAGTTGAAGTCAGGGATGAGAAAGGGGTGAATGGAAGCCAGCCATCCTACTCCTCTAGCAGTAAAGGCTGGGAACCTTCGATGGATCAGACGGGCTAAACCAGATTGACTTAGCTTTTTTCAGTAACACAAAGATCCAAGACAACTCTGAAGAACTTATGATGAAAAGTGCTATCCATCCCCAGAGAAAGAACTGATGATGTCCGAATACAGATTGACGCATACTTTTTTTACTTTATTTTTCTTGAGCTTTTTTCTATTTTCTTTCACAGAATGACTATTAGGGATATGTTTTGCATGACTACACACATATAACCTGTATTAAATTGTTTGCCCTCTCAGTGGCGGGGGGGAGAGGGAGGGAGAGGAAGGGGAAGAATTTAGAAGTCAAAGTTTTAAAAACAGATGTCAAAAATTGTTTTTACATGTAACTGGGGAAAAATAAAATACTAAATAAAAGCTTAAAAAAAATTATTCTTTGAGTCCACCCATCCGAGTTCTGAATCTATCTTACTTCATTATTGTCTAACCTGTAAAAGCTTTGCCAAGATCTAAGTGAATGACCTCTACAACATTCCCCTCTTCTACTAGCTCAGTGAGTCTATCAAAAAAAAAAGAAAGAAAGAAAGAAAGAAAGAAAGAAAGAAAGAAAGAAAGAAAGAAAGAAAGAAAGAAAGAAAGAAAGAAAGAAAGAAAGAAAGAAATTAAGTTAGTCTCATGCAACCTATTTCTAACGAACCTGGGCTAGCTCTGCATCATCACTGCTTCCCTTTCTGGACGTCCAGCGACCAATTTTCTCTAAAACACAAATCAGACTCACCGGCCTAGAGTCGGCAGAGTCTGACCTCCCTCCTTTTTTTGACAATCGAGACATCTGCCCTTCTGCCATCTTGCGGCCCCTCAGCCATCTTCCACAATCTCTCAAATGATGCTGACAGGGACCGGGCAGGAATATTCACCAGCTGTTTGAGGACCAGAGGAGGCCACACACCTAGGCTGGGTGACCTAGATTCATCAAGGGTAGCGAGGCGCTCTCTTACCACGTCCTTAGCGGATGGCTAATAGCCATTGGAGGTTTTTAAAAGAATACCAGTAGCAGGATTCCCCCGGCCCGCCCAACACAATAAAAAGCATATGCTTGAAATTCAGGGCCAACATTGGAGATACAACATGAGCACTGCTGCTGACCCCTCATTGCTGGGACCCCCGCCCAAGGGCCAAGCACCACATCCCATGTCGCCACCCCACCCCCGCCTGCCTGCTACAGTGCCCATCTTCCCCAAACCACACCCTCCGCTCTCCACCTCTTGCTCTGGGAACAATGACCAAATCAACACTTCCAATGCTTCTGGAAAAAGCATGTCAATGAATTCCTCTACGGCTCCACTCTCCACTCAACATACCTGCAACTGGACAGACCTAAACAGTCCACGCCAATAACCTCTCCCTTATACATGTGGGCTCTCCTTTTAGAATGGAAACTCTTTAGGGCAAAGTCTGTCTCACTTCTGTATTTCTATACGTAGTGCTTAGCACAGTGCTTGGTCTCTAGCAAACGTCTAATAAATGCTTTTCATTCACGCAAGCATTCGAAACAAAACTAACCCACTTTAATTACTGAGAGTTCCAACTCATCATGATTTTTCTTGAAGACCTCTAGGGAAGGCAAGGCTACTAGCATCCATGGCAGCCCTTTTGGGTAACTAATTTAGGAAGATTTTTCTCATATCAAACACAAATCGGCCTCCCTGCAATTTCTCCTTGCTTCCAGGCCCGGCCTCTGGAACCAAACAGAGAGCAAATTCCCCTCCCACCAATATCCTCCAAACAAATAAATCTCCAGTTCTTTCCTTTCACCTGTTATTATCTGATAAGCACTTCCTAGGTTTTAGTATGAAGATAGGGTTAACATTTTTAGCCTTGAAAGCTCTGATTGTTTAGGAAGTTCTTCCTTACGTTGGCTATGATATCAGAAATGCCAAGAATAGCTGTAAGGCTGGAAAAAATAAGAAGTTAGAGAAACAGACAAAATACTTTTATTTGTAGATATCATAACTATTCCCCTAGAAAATCTATCTTTCCTTCTGCATTGAATAATAAATGAACTCTGCAACACTTCAGGTTATATAGAAGAGGGTTATCCCAGTAAGAGATAGGTTTATATGTAAGAGAATGATATGTGATCTGCTTTTGAAGGAGGCTGTGACATTTCTAGTGCATTAATCAAGTAATCAAAGGCATTTGAACTAGGTTATATGTGCACAGTGGCTGGAGTGCTGGGCCTGGAGTCAGGAAGATGCATCTTTCTGAGTTCAAATCTGGCCTCAGATATTAGTTGTGTGAGCCCGGGCAAGTCGCTTCACCCTGTTTGCCTCAGTTCCTCATCTATAAAATGAGCTGGAGAATGAAATGGCAAACCATTCCATTATCTCTGCCAAGAAAATCCCAAAGAGTCAAACACGACTGAAAACGATTTAACAACATATATCCATAAATACAATAAAAACAACAGACATGATGAACATAATGAGATTTGGAAGGATTTACATGAAACAATGTCAAGTGGAGAAGGTAGAATCACCATTACAATGACTATACCTACAAAGAGTTGTAACATGTGTGCTCTGACCTCACCCTGGCAGGGCCAGGCAGCCTACTTCGCCCTTCAAAGTTCCAAAGATACCCTGAGAAGAAGATGAAGTGGTGAAAAGATGCCCAACTCGGGACTTTTTGAAGATGGAAGGAGTTCTAGCTGGAGAACCAGTTGAAAAGGGCTGCTCCCAGTAAAGGAATGTTCACATATACTCTAGTCTCCCCAGGGCACTTCCATGATTCTCTCAGAAGCCCCTGCATCCTTCATTTGAGCAAACTCATAGGTCTGCACACGTGCCATGTCCCACTTTTAATATTCAGACAGGTGACATAATTAGTTTAAAACAAAGGCATCTAATGAAATAGCATGGTAAGAAAAAGAGCCAGAGAACATTTCCCCCATAAACCTAGAGCACAGGCTCCAAAAAATATGCGCACCGTCAGTGGGAATCATAGATACATGTGGAGAAGACATGTAAAGAAGCAGACACATAAGGAACACAGGTGGCCAAGGCACATATATGAAGGGGCACACACAGAAAGAACATGTGTGTCCAAATTGCACATCACAGAGGGGCACAAACATGGGAACACGGAGGGAACAAACATGGCTAGGGCCCATATGTAGAACGGCAACTTGTGCCTCCAAAACAGCAAAACAAATGATGTCTTTTGGTGATGTCATCACGTACCTCACCCCAGGTCTGTTCTACCATGTCTCTGGCACTGCGGGCCACATTCTTAGTCTCTTTTGGACACTGCCTTGGGGATGTTATCATAGACTCTCTCCCTGCTTTTAGCTTCAGTTGGTGTCCATGGCTACAATACAATATCTTCCTCATAAGAAGAGTGGACTCCGCCATGCTCTTTTAGTTTAAAGCCCCAATGCTTTCCATAGTCTTTTCATAAAAGAAACATGTGTTAAGTAACACTTAACCATAGGGCCAACAAAAATCACCTGTAGGAAAAAGAATCTTTTTAGACTTTTCCCCCTTAATGAGCATTCTTTCTCGTTCCTCTCTTGGCTAGAAGAATTTTCATTCCCATTGGAAGATTCTTTGCCCCAGCTGCCACACTCTTTAGAATTCAAGGAAGAGATACCCCTAGCTACGTAGCTGGTACCTTCAAACTCAAGTCTATCTTTTGAACACTCTAGCATAGGGCAAGAAATCCCTATGTCTCCCTATTTGTCTGTAATAGCTAGACTGTGCCCCATCATTACATATATATAC